GTGGCGGCAACTCGAGCCTGGCTGGCGGTTCGCATCATGGCAATCATGTGTCGGCGGCCGCTGCGGCCGCGGCGCATCATCACAACAATGCGGTGGCTGCTGCCTCGGCGGCAGCGCTGCTCGTCGTCCCGCAGCCCATCAATGCCAGCAAAATGGGCGGGCCGGGCGTCGGCTCGGGCGGTGGACATGCCCCAGCCGGAGGCAGTGGACGCAAGTATCAATGCAAAATGTGCCCGCAGGTAGGTGTAGCCCCTTTCATTGTACGCCGACTGATATTTGCATTGCACTTAACGCTTAAGTTAAAGCTTAACCGTATTTTGGCCGACGGCCTGCCCCAGAGAAGTGTTGACAAGAGCTCGGGCCGGCGAGGCGACGGCTTTTGTTTACAATTTTCCAGTTGATTTGCTCGGGCCAGAAAAGTTTCGAATTTCAGAGAAGCAGGCCTGGTTTCGCCTGTCGTCTGTCGCCTCGTCCTGTGCCCTGTCTTCTACCGCTAACCATCCTGCCCCCTGTTCCCTGTTACCAAATCAAGTGCATTTTTTTCCCACATTTCATTCAACTTGAGCATCAGCTTTTGGCGGCCAACACACTTGACCAAAACTGGACAGAAAACGGCATTAATGACACTCAACAGATGCTGCTCATAAAATGTCAATTATGCATCGACCTGCAAGTGTGTGGCCCTCAGCGAGTGTGTGTTCTCGTCAGCGTGTTAATTGCAGTTAATTGAGCTTATTGTTTTTAACGGTTTTACTTTTTCTGCTCTCCTTTGCTCTTGACTTTCTGTTGACCTGCGGCAGGTGGCACTACCAGATTTTCGGATCATATGTGTAGTTACTGATACGCGTGGGATTATGCAACGGGTGCGGAGAAAGTCAAACTGAAAGCCGAAACATAAGGAGCGCCAAGATACAAAACGTATTGCGAGTTCTTTCAAGTGTGGAAGCAAGCTTTGATATGATGCAAATTTCACAGAAAACAAGACTTCATTGACAAATGCACATATATTATTAGGCACTGTGCAATATAGAATTAAATATGATTTATTTACTTTTCAGACTTCACTCACTCACCTACAAGAATAGCAAACTGTAATTCAGTTAGTGCTGTCTTGGCTCTTGTACCTGTGCGTGTGTGTATGAGAGACTGTGCTAACGAAGATCGAACAAATGAAAGTAAATTGAACATCAAAAAATTCCCAAAACAAAAAATTGTAGGAAGTTGTTGTTGCTCATATTGTTGCTGTGGTTGTGTGTATTTTTGGGCAATAGCCACAGCAGGAGCAACAACAAAATTTTGTTGTCCATTGGACGAATGATATGTCGGCCAGATATGCCACACCCAGAACGCCCACAAATTGTGGTGCGGAGCTAACAGCTTTCGCAGCGTGCGCTGATGAGCGAGACACTATATGTGTATGTGTGTGTGTGTGCGTGTGTGTGTGTGGGCGACTGATGATGTTGATGACGCTGCTGAAAAGCCAGCAACAATAGCAACAACAACAGCAGCAGGAGCGGCAGCAGCAGCAACAGCAACGGGGGTGCAGAGGTGTTCATTTGTGCGAGGCGAAGTGAAATAGCAGCATGCCTAAAAGTATGCTGCAAATTTTTTGCAGCTGCCGCTGCGTGCGAGTGAATTCACAGTTGCTGTGCGAGTGTATGGGTGTGTATGAGACTGTCGGTGTGTGTGTGTCAACTTTATGTTGCTTTTTTTAGCTTACACACATATGCATTTATGAGTATGAGTATGAGTTTGTATGTGTCTCTCTCTCTGTGTGTGTGTGTGTAAGCTGCACTACTGGAAATTAGTGCGTTTCTACGCTCAAAAGCGTCTGCTGGTCTGCTGCTACGTTTTTAATTACCCACACTTGGCATTTTTTTCTGCGCTGTTTTGGCAGTCTCCTTGTTGTGCTTGCTGTTGTTGTTGCCAATACAGCTAAAGCTTCAATTGGAATTACTTCACTTGGCACTCGCATCTGCGTTGTAGCAGCAGCAGCAGCAACTACTTTTTTTTGGGTCTTCTTTAATGCCTTTGACTGGCCACATCTACGTATCCATATAGCATACAGCATGTGCATGTCCATGTGCAACTGTGTGAGTGCCTTCCTGTGTGTATGTGTCTGTGTGTGAGGTAAAGTTGCAGCCAGCCTATCATGTTAGTGTGCGCTGGCCTGCTTTCTCACTATTTTTTATTTATTTTTTTTTTTGACTGTGCGAAAGGAGGGGCAAATGTTATTTTTGCACTTTTTTGTTGGTCGCAAAATTATGTGTGAGCGTATGGGCAGGTGGTAGCTATTAAAGCTTTATCTTGTGACGCTATTAAATTATTCTCAAATAAGTTAAAAATGTTAGTGTCTTGGAATGGTAAACTTTTGTTGATCTTAAATTTAATATTTTACTTAATTTTTTTTGGACCTTAATCACTTTATCAAGCAAATTAATTTCCAAATATTATTTTTTTAATTTCGTTGGAAATGAAATAGCATGTTATCAACACATATATTTGCCTCAAAATAGTTTTTATATACATGCAGCCCCTACATAAATTACATAAAAAAGAATTAAGTGGGATGCTCTCAAAAGTATGCAGCGTTTGTGTGTGTGGGTGGCGGCGGGTGTATGTGTGTTGGGCATTAAATTGTCGCTGCCTTTTAGGCGCCAAGTCCCCAGCCAACACGCGTAATGCCCCCTTATAATTTTGCACAGCAATTTTTTAGTTACATTTATCGTGTTTTTTTTTGTACTCCCTTTTTTTTGGTTTTCGTATTCACTCAACTCACTCAGCTGGCCGCTTTGTGTGTGCTGTGTGCACTAACACAATTACACACGCACAGCAAAGCCGCTGAAGCACTGGTCATGCCCAAAAGGGGCCGTATGGGCTGCCCAAATAGCTCACACTATCAATTAGTAAAATTACAAGCGAAAAACGAGCGCAAAATGTTTTGCCACGTTAGGCATGAAAAAAACGCAAAAAAATAAAAAAAATCTAAAAAAAATTTAGCGCACTCTCTTGCTGCACACACGCACACACACGCATGTGCACTTGTTGTCGGTAATTCCCCTCATTTAATTAACAATAAAAATAGGCTAAAAAGTCTAAAAAAAAAAGTAAAAACTGCAAGCGATTATGCATACATGCCACACACACACACACAGAAACCACACACACACACGCACGTACATTGCACGCGTGCCATTTGTTAAACAATTTTAACGCGCGCCCCCAAGTAGGCAACGCTTTTTTGTCAAGCTGCGCTGCCCACACGCATACACACACACACATGCATGCACACGACCACGTACACGGATGCACAGCATTAAAATTTTATCCGATATAATGCATGAATTATGTAAACTATTTTTATATTTATTTTTATTGTTGTCGTTGATTTTTGTTACTTTTTGTTTGTTTTTGTTTGTTTTTTTATTTTTTTTATTTTATTTTTGCAATTTTTCTGAATCGCGCATTGGTGGCCCCAGCGTGATGCCATTACCCCTGAATGTGCGTGTGTGTACGTATGCCTGCGTATGTAAGTTTTTGCACGTGTGTCTGTGTGTGTGTGAGTATTGGTCAGCGGCCTTTAGCATTAGCATTTGGTTAATGTTAACGCGTGGCGCCCTCTATCGACCGAAACAAGTATGCCTCACATGCGTTTTTAGTGCGGTTAGCAACTGTACATACATACACACTCACAGACACACACGAATTTTAATCTGTGGCAGCTGTCTCGCTCGCACAGCTACTGCCATCTCTCTTTCCCGCTGCTGCAGTTTGTAACTTGTTTTATTTTTAATTTTATTATGTGTACATTATTTTGCCAATGCATTGATGTGTGCGTGTCTGGGTGAGTGTGCGTGTGTGTGTGTGTTGCGTGTGTCTATTTATGCACTCGTCCGATGCATTCAAGTGTTTTGTTTTGTTTTGCTTGTATTTTGCATATTGTATGAAATCATGCGCTTTTTTCCCAGTTGCTACGAAAATGGTTTTTAAAACGTCAACTAGTTAGCTGTGTGTTTTTTTAGAACTTTACTTATTAATTTTTTATTATTGTATTAACGCTTCGGGCAACTTATTTATTTATATACACATTTATTCAGTTGATGTTTCGCTTGCTGCTTCAAATAACATAAATAATCAACATGCCGCAAATATGTTTCAGCGAATTATTAATTTTATAAAATTTTTTACGTTGTCTCTCGCAGCTGTATCAATTTAGCTTTAAATGTTTAAAGACCGATGAAAAGTACAGCTACCTACAATTACAATTTTATACTTTTCATACATACGAATGATCTATTGGAGGTAGAAATTACTCGCAAATGGAAATTGAGTTTGGATTAATTGTAGAAATATATTTCAATTAAACGCATTATTTTATAGAAACAGCTATGTTAAGAATGGCATATTCCCTCAAAAAAAAAAAAAAAATATTTATATATATATAAATATATATATATATATATATATATATATATATATGTATATGTATATATATATTATATTTTCATTACATAAGACCCTACAGCATACTGCGATCAATGCTTCACTGATCGCCTTTTATTTAAAAATTCTTATCTTATTGGAACATTCTTTAAAATAAACATCTCTTTTCCAAAATATAACTTATCTAGAATGGCCATGGCTTAGTATACAAGTGTTTTTCTTGTCTGATGGTTATATGCTCCTCAATGCTATCTTGCCGTCCACTTCAAGGCGTCAGCAGGTAGTCTTGAAGACCAAGTTCTGGCTTGATTAGACAAGGATCTATGTATGAAAGCAACTATTGATCTCTGCTTAAGCTTAATCTATGTTAGTTTTTCCTGTTAAGGCAACATTTAGCCTAAAGAACAAAAATTGAATCAGCTTAAATTGTTAATCAAATCTTTTTCAAATATAACATAAAAGATTTTCTTTTTCTTTTGCTCAAGCTCAATAGCCAATCGATTCTTAAAGCAAGGCAATTTGAATAAAGCTTTGAAGAAAACGTGTTTCCCTTAGAGCTGTGTACAAGTCTCAACTATTCCATAAATCTCTGACTAACTGATGTTTCCACTGAGTTTTCTTATTGAAAACACATCAATTTCTTATAAAAGCAGCTGTGATAAAGTGTATAATAAGCATTGCTGCTCGAGTTACAATTTCAATTAACCAAAACAAGCTAACAGTCTGCGGATATATTAGCTTACTAGTGGACAATTATGATATTACAGAGCTTGTCAGATATCAACTAACTTGAATGGCTCTTGGTTCAGTCCGCTAGATTAACCTGTAAGAGAGCAGCATGAAGTAAGGTATCGAAAAAAAGAAGAGCGTCTTCTGGATACAAACCTACCATAGATCGAAAGTAGGTTTTGACAGTCTGCCAATGGATGTTGGGCGAATGATAATGCTCGCGCTTCCACTCGTCATCGTCCAGCGAGCAGGCTGACAACAGCGGCTCCACCTCGAGGAACTGCGCCCAGAAGGCGGGCGACTGAAGCAGTAGAACACGCAGCACCTGCTGCCAGAGCACAATGTTGCTCAGATTCAAGTCGACATCGTCAAAGAGCGTGGGCGCAAACACAACGGCAATGTTATTGATGGACATCTTCACGGCCGGACTCTCGGCGATGCGCTGCCAGTGCAGCATGAGAAAGGCCAAAGTATCGCGATGTGCTTGTGGCAAATCTACCATGGCCAAATAGAGATGCTCCTCGGCTGCTAGCGGATCTGTTTGCTGCGTGACCAGCACAAAGTCGGGTCTGTGGTACATGGGTATCAGGGGTCGTTCCAGCGATCGTAGGAACTCCTTTACGCAGCAGCAGAGCGTATGGGTATCCTTGTCGCCGAGATGCGGCGTCGCCTTGCCACGCAGCAACTTGTGGCGCAGACGCTTGACCTTCTCCCTGGTGGAGGAGACGCGATAGAGGCCCTCCTGCTCCAGGCCGCGTGACTCAATCTCGGTGACACAGTGCACGATAAGTGCTGGCACCATAGGTGCCGCATGTGGCACATAGTCGCTCAGATGACCGCGCTTTGTGTTGGCCAACGGCTGCGGTATGCAGTTGACTGTCAGATGACTGCAGCAGTCCGTGTGGCAGCGCAATGGACAGTCGCGGCACCTCAGGCTAGCCACCGCAAAACGAATGCTACAAGCAAAACAGAACCTGCCACATGTGTCTCATATGAACATCAATGTGCACCGCCAACTTACCGCTTGTTGCATTGAACGCAGTTGCCTACGTTTGAGTAGTAGACCTTCAGCTTGAAGTTGTGCTGCCGCAGCAGCAAGAGCGGCGACGGCGGATAAACCGTGGGGTAGGTGGGCGTGTAGAACTCATCCCGCTGCAGAGATATATCGTCGCTGCCATTGGGATTCATGTGGATGCGCAGACGATCGTCCAGTAGCGAGTCCACCGACTGCTCATCATACATGCGGAACTGCCTGCTCAGATCATTGAACGAATTGTATTCGCGTCGCAAACGGTCCTTGGCCTGCATCAGAGCGTGTTGTGGCAACGACTAACTGCACAATCTAAGTGCCGCCCGCGCTAAGCGATTGTCGTCTGTTTTGCTCACTTATCGCCAACTTCTGATACTCAACCACGCATATACATGCACCCATATGTATATGTGTGGCTAGAGCATATACCTGTGCGTGCTGACCAAATCAGCTGCCACTCTTCATTGAGTCAGCTGCCTGGCCAATATATTTCCAGCAAAAGTTTACTTCGCAGAATGTTTGCTTTCCGCTCGACTTTGACTTCGACTTCGCTATATAGAAAACCAACAATTCCGAATAGAATGGAAACTCCGACCGCTTGCCCGAAAACAGAATATATATATTTTATGAATGTAGAACACAGCTGAGGCTGCTTTGTCATTTGATAGTCTGATTGCAAATGTATTTTAAAGCGAATGCGATATATATCGTACAGCTATTGTACAAACTATCATATGTTACTCTAGTAAAACAAAAAAAAATTGCTAGATGAGACAGCTAAGGCATTTACTTAATGTTAGTTAAGGTTTTTCTAAGCTCTTCTGAAGTGCCAAAAATTGATAGACTAAAATTTATTTTTCTCATATGTATATATTTATAATATAATAGTATAGTAATAGTAGGGTAATATTGTAGTTGAAACACGATATTATTGAGTCAAAATGAAAAACTGAGACTGCAATCAAGAACTGTATAAAGATCTATAGAGAATGCAGTTCAAATAATTACCCAACTTGGAGATGTCTAATGACAATAAATCAATACATATTCCAGTGTAATTAATACTTTTCTCATCAATCATTTAAAGTTAGCTTCAAGCGAGCTTAAAAGTCAAATGTGAAAACATTTCTAGAGCAAAAGCAAATTTCTCTTTAAATATTTGCACGGCACTCGCGAGAATTCAATGTCACGCCGCCGAGATTGGTGTAAAAAATCTGATGGGAAAACAATTTGTGAAAGTATCAATGAATTCTAAGCGCGATGAAAATGGCTCAATGGCCGCGCTAAATGGATGAAAAATTCATGGAAAAACGCTTTGCGGCCGACAAACAAAATACGTCGCAAAGGAACAAAAAAGTTGACAACTAAACACAGAAAAAAATTGCCATCAAAAGCGAAAATGTTAGAGTTAGGCGGAGTGAAAAAAATAAAAATCTAGAATATTTTTTGTTTTCGATTTTTGAGTTTGGCGTCTGACAAATGTGCTGCACACTGCGGACTTGCCGGCGCAGCGTTTTGCCGTCAATTTTTTAACGAGCAGCGAGCATAGGCAACAGCGGTGCGGGGCGAGGCAGGGGCAGGGTCTGGAGTGTTGGGTGCGAATGAGGCGCAGCAACGGGCGAAATTAACGAACGAGGCGGGCAAAAGGCGAATGAATTTGATTTTTATATTTTTGTTGCCGTTTTTTAGGCGTCAGCTGCAGCAGAGCAGTCAACGCACTGTATGCGAGTGTGAGTGTGTGTGTGTGATTGGATAGGCTGTCTGCTCCTGTGTGTGTGTGATGGGCGTCGCATTGAATTCGTAGTTATTAATGCGTATTGAAATGCACATGTGCATACACACATAACTCTGCCTATGTGTGAGTGTGTGTGTGTATGTGTATGTGTGTGTGTGTGTGTGTTTTGTTTGTATTCAAAGTCCACAAACGCCAGTCACGCATTGGAATAAGCCCATGCAAGTAACCATAGCAAATATGCGGGCTTTGGCCCCAAACGCCGACACACCGACCCCCGCCCCTCAAGCCACATACGTATGTGTGTGTGTGTGCTTTCGACCGCTGTGTTCGACTACAACAACACAACAAAACAACTAAAAAATCTCTGTGACATGCAAAAAAAGCAAAAAATAAAGCAAAATGCAAAACAACGTAGAAAAACACACACATGCACATGCACATCCAAACACACTTAACAAAAAAAGAGGAAATATTACATCGAAATCCACTGACAGTGTTGCCACATGGTGTTAATTAATTTTTCACACACGCAAATATTGCCACAGCTTTTTCTAAGAGTGAAAACGTTTTTTATTCTGCATAGATAAGTGAAAATGTTGCAAAAGATGTTTGAAGATATAGGATGATTGGGGACTTAAGTAAACACAAATAGAGTTTTCTGAATTTAAAAACCCAAGTAAAAAAGTAACTTCGAATAGATGGATATCTTCAGAAATACTTCTTATATAATAGTAAATTTAGATATATATTTTGTTTAAGCTTTCTGTATCTATCCGACTAGGCTGTCTAGTGTAAGATCATTAAGATATCCATGCTCTGCTCGCTTGCCTCTGTATAAATGCAAGCTAATGTTTTTGCCGACAGTACTCACTCGATAACCTGGATTGTCTAACCCACTTCTATACCATTAAGAACAGTCATTTATAATATATAAATTTTTCAATGGCAACTCTACGATTCTTTTTTGCCGTGAAGTTCAATTGAAGTGAAACTAAAAAGCAAAATCTAAAAGCAAACGCAAACACAAAACACAAAACACAATTGCAAAGGCAACAGCAGCACGCAGAAGGGGCAAAGGCAAAGTAAAAGCAAACGCAAAACGGAACAGCAAAAAATGCCATTTTTGAGCGGGTCAGAAGTGTGGCGTGCGAACGAGATGGCGCGAGCCAATGGAAAAAATTGTTTCCTGTGACAAGGCGGCCACGAAAAAAAAATTGCCGAAGGGGAGGCTGCGTGGAAAAAATGCACAGCAAATGGAAATGGAAGAAGTACAGAGACCAAAAAAAGAAAACAAAATAGAAAAAAAATAAGCGCAGCGAGCGGGGCGAGCAGAGCAGCTGAAGCGTATGGAGTAGAAGTCGAGGCAAGGTTGCAGCAGAAGCATCCGCAGCCGCAGCCGCAGCAACAGCAGCAGCAGAAAAAAAACAACTTAGGAATAGCAGCGACGAGCAGCAGACAAACGACGGCTGCAGTGCAACGGAAGGAGTTCGCTTTGTGTGTGCATGTGTATGTGTGTGTGGGTATATGAGTGAGTGTGAGTAAGAGGTATGAGGGGTGAGATTGCTGGCAGTTAAGCCACGCGGTGGCTTAGGTCAGGACAGAGGCTGACTGAGGTGTGCGTTGCGTAGCTGTGCGGGTGTGTGTGTATGTGAGTGAAACATTTTTTTCAGGTTTGCTACGCTTTCAAGTTGATAGACTGATAGGGTACTCCAGCGCTTGACAACACGGCGCCATTTTCCAGTGTGACCAGCGCTGCATGCGAGTTGCTGCCGCATGAAAAACTATTGCCTACTTTTAAGCGCAATCGAATATTCTGTTTAACAAAGAGCTAAAATTGCAATTGTAATAGCAATTATTTGCTGCTTAATTAGTTAATTTATCACACATGTCTTTTACCCTTGCCAGGCCGCCAAAAACTAAAACCAAAATGCAAAGTCAAATTGCAAAAAGCTCTTCAATGCAAACAGCAGAAAAAAAGATAAAAACAAACGGCATCAAAGTCGAACAAAACAAAATGTTGGAAAAAAATGATGTGGTCTGGGTTCGAGTAGACGGGCGGTGGGCGGTAGGGGGTTAGCCAGCAAATTTGGGGGCGGTAAAGGCTAACACGAAGCTGGCAGCGAAAAAATTCCGTGCGTTTGTATGTCTATGTGACTGTGTGTGTGTGCGTGGGCCAAACTTCCCCTTTTTTAAATTTTTTGCACACACACAGAGAATACTTCCTCTTCTTTTTTTATTTTGCGCGTTTTTTAGAGCCCATCGGTTGGCTCCAAACTTGCCCCACACCGAATTGAGTTTGGGTCAATGTTGACGGCAAGTGCTTATTGTTGTTGTTGTCGTTGCTGTTTGTGTTGTTGCTATCGTTGTTTTGGCGCTGCTCTGTCAGGTGGCTGCGACGCGGGCAGCGCTGCCACCACGAACAGCGCAGCATTTGAATAGCGCCAGCAGCGAAGCCGCCTATGCAACCAAAACTTTTTTTTGCCTTTCGCTGTGTGTCTGTGTGTGTGAGAGTAAGTGAGTGTGTGTGCGTGGCATTTTTTGCTCGTTTAGTTGGTTGTTGTTGTTGCTTCTGCTGCTTTTTTTTTTTCAATGTGTGTGTGTGAGCTGGCGCTTGCCCCTTTGCTGTGTGTTGTTGTTGCTGTGTCGGCCGGCGGCGGCCTTTAGTAAGCCGCCACCCACACACGCACGCACACAACTACATTATGCTGCTGCTGCTGCGTTTTGAAGAGCCGCTGCGTTTGTGTTAGTGCGCGTTTTGTCTGTCTGGCAGCCAGCTCGTGCCTGTCGATGCTGCGTTGCTTTGCATCTCTCTCTGTGTATGTGTGCGTGGCTGTGTGTGTGTGTGTGCGACCCCCCGAAAAATATATTGTTTCAGATTTTTTCATCATCGCTTTAGTTGAGTTTTTACATTGGTGACGGATCGTGCTCTCGGCTCGGTACGCGTTGCTGCTCGAAAACGAAACGAATCTCGACTCTCGACGCTCGACGTTCGACGCTCGCTGCTCTACAGGGCCAAAGCGCGCGTCTTTCAGTTCAGCTGTGTGTTTTTCTGTGTGCGCAACATGTTCCTTGAGACGCCGCCAATAAAAGTAGCTACAACGGCAGCAGCAGCAGCAACAATAACTGTCACAAACACAGCTACAGCAAACAACTCGCAGCGTCTTCGGCTTACGTCGTCCGTGTCGTCTAAGTTGTTGTTGTTGTCGCCGCGACAAGCCTTATAAAAAGTAGCAATACCAATAACAACAGCTAGAAGAAACAGAAAAAAAAGGGAAACAAACTCAAACTCAAACTCGAACTTGCACTTGACTCGGTTTCGGTTTCCATTTCCGGTGCGCGCTTTTAGACTTTTTCTGGCTGCTGCCTCTCGATTCAATTGCGCGCTTTGTGTTTATTTATTGCTGCAGCACAGAAGCAACGTACGCGCGTGTGTGTGTCTGTGTCTATGTGTTGGCATATCTTGAAGATACGCGAACTTCTAATGCAGCGTGGCTGCCCGTCACGTGCTTTGCCGCTAAGAAGAAAGCGAAGCAAACACAGCAGCAGCTGGCTTTTGTTTTCCTTGCCACACACACACACTGGCTTCTCTGCTGTGTGTACGTGTGTGTATGTGCATATAAATAATAAATGTTCTTTACGTACTTCGTGGCTCTGTGTGTGTGGGTGCATATCAGCTGTTACTTGTGTTCAATATCAAGGTCACAATTATCCTTCAGCTTCCGCCTTTGCCAAGGCAAAACACAACAAAATTTCCGACGGTATAGAATTAATTGCAAGGAACTAATTAAAGGATAGAAATTCATCATTCACATGGGATCTGATGGGATTTATTGCTCAAATACTACAGCTTATTTATGAAATACTTAAATATTATTTTCGAGATTTTATGAATTTTATAAGCTTTGTCTGACTT